TTTATTTATTTATTTATTTATTTATTTATTTATCAGGTGGCTGACTCGAGTTAACGTATCAGCTGTAAGTTGCCCGTGGCTCTGACAAAGTTTTTAAAATTTGGCTCCTTTTGGTAACAGTAATCGACATCCCTAGAGAATTTGTTTCATTGTGTTTCTAGGTGAAGTTCAGGCTACATTGAAAAAAAATGTTTGTCCCATCTTTACCATCATAATCACTTAAATGTCTCTTAATGCTAATGCTAACCTAAACAAATTTTTAACTCTAAACATAAAATCTGATTCAGCAAAAATCAAATGGCTGAAATAGACTCTCGTTGAAAAGTCATTTTGTTTTCGACATACGAAACTTCCACGAAAATGAGGTCTGTGTTAATTTAGGGACAAAATTATGGAATATGAATTGTTTCATTCAGTTCGTGGCATTTCTCTGACGTCTTTTTACACAAGAATCACTGGCTTTGCAAAGTCATTGACTCTGAGTTGGAAACGTTGAGATTTTTTTTATCGGATAGTCCAACACTGTCCCGAACAAATCTTCCTGCCATAGACTCTGACACAAATTAACTGCTGAACAAACAAGCAAAGAAAAATCTGTCTTCTGAATGAGAACTGGTCAAATTGTGGCTGGTACTTTTTTGGCGGCGGGGGGGGGGGGGGGGGTACATTTTTTTCACAGCTTCACTGAGGAATAATTTTGAACAAGCAACAAAAGCAACCCCCGTATTTCTGTTTGGCAAACACAAAAGCAGGATTGGACGTCAATGAACTCTGCGTCTAAATAGAATTAATCATTAGGGAGGAAAGAAACAGCACAAGTATACTTTCATGAGATTACTGAATGATAAAATGTACATAATATGTATTTTTTCTCTTTCTATTTCCCCCCCAAACTATCAAAATCAGCAATGCATACCATTGACTCTTATCTCATCATGCCTAGCACTAGAACATGTCTGGACACTCTGAAATCACAGTATTTTTCAAGACAAAATCATATCTACATTAATCAGTACTTGTTTATAACCATAATGAAAAAAAATTATCCCAACCACCCCTCCCAGCCCCACCCCACTCCCTCCCTCAGAACATGTTTCTAAAAGTAAGATGAGAAAGAATACAAGTTTGCGTTGACTCTGGGTGGGAATGCAGCGGTCAAACATCGTATCCATACGGCCCTTAGTTGGGGACCATAAGGCCAGAGCTGATGCCAGATAAGAACATTATCACCTACAAAAACCCGAGTAACAACACGTAATCCAAACAAGGTAGCTGTACAAAGCAGAACCGGAGATTTCCGTGCATGTTATCCCATGGGTGATGGCAGAGGATTTGATTGTGGGGGTGGGAAAGACTGTAGGTGATGTCTGCAAAGGTGGGACTGGGAATGGGGTCTATGGTGGTGCGGAGGACCTCATTCAGCTGATGCCTGAACCGACAATCCACCACTGATTTCTTGAGCTGCAGAAGAGGATTTCTGAGTACAATAAGTATCAATAAAAAGTCAATGGGACTCTGAGACACCTTTTCTTTCCCAAGAGCTTTCACTTTTTTCTCTTGTTGTCCTTTTTCTTTTTTCTGTTTTGTTTTTATAGCAAAAATATCATGCAGTCTTTAGTTTCAAAACCCCCCTGTGGGATCTCATGTTTGTTCTGTTTGTTTCAGGAGGAAAAAGGAAACTCAGAGCCTTGAAATTCTTCTCGCACAAGTATTCTTAAACATTCAAGTCATCCTAGTAATACTTTGTACAGCAGAAGGTCCTTCAGATTTCACATATGGATATATAAATATAATATATAGAAATATGCATATACATATGTTCAACTTGTATATGTGTATACATATTTTGGAACTGTATCAAAGCCAATTTAATGTGCTCTCAAAATATGGCCCATGATTCCTAGTGGGATGCACATCAATTCACATAGTACAACCAGTAGATTAGGTTGAAAAATCCAAAGGTGATGGGGAAAATGACTCGGGACCACTTGTCGATGGTGCTAACATCTGACAGGTTGGGGATTTTCAACTTGAGCTTGGAGGAGCGTCGTCGTAGCCGACAGTTGGCCCGGCTTCGCATGGCGCTCCGGTCCAGCGAATGGTGGCTGTAGCCGTCCCGGGGTGTCATGGGCTTCCTAAACTGGACCCCAGAGCTGTCGAAGGACATGACAGAATTTCGAGAGTCACTGACGCTGCTGCCTACGTCAGAAGGCATCACCTCGTTGTTCATGTCCAGCGTGGTGAGGAGGATGTTTCCGTACGCATCCACCTGAATGGAGGAAGGAGAGACACTGAGGGTTAGTGGGGGCTGAAATGCAAGGAGACAGCCCCAAAACCCCTTAAAATTATCATTCTACCCCCCTCCCATCCTTAAAGAGATAGTTCAATTCTTTGGAGGTAAGATTTTGTCAAAAATTTAGGGGCAAGTGATATCTTACTTGCACTAGGTAGCTTTTGAACAACAATTTGAAGAAATGGCTTTCCCACATTGCCAACTGGTGTCTAGTACTCAAGGGACCAAGACCAAAGTGGACCTCTACCTTCTTAAAGCAACTTCAATCTCAAAATTTTTAAACGGCTTATGCAACTGCTATTGTTTTCACAATATATATTATTTGGACAGAAATATAATGATAGTCCTGCTTGCAGATAATTACAGATTTAAAACCTGTAATACAAAATCGACAGCAGTATAAAAAGATTGTAAAGCAACATACTTATTAAGGATCAATGAGTTGGCAGCAATCCACTTTGGCCTCAGTTTTCAAGGTTTAGCTCATCAGTTTGGTCAGAATATAACTATTTCTCCAAGACGTCATTCAAAGAGCTCACTACAACAGGTAAGACAGTATCTGTCAAAAACTTTCCACAGAACCTCACTTCAAAACAACTGAACTATCAATTTAAAAATAGTCCAGCTTAAGCAGAAAATGCAGGGATGATATGGAATGCAACTTCTTGCATGCAACAGAAACAGTTAGCTGCTTTACAAAGACATGTATTATTATTTTTCCACTAGAAAAACAGGGACAAGTCATTTGAATAGTAAGAATCATCTGACTTTAAAGTGAGGGCTGGCCTACAGCTGATATGATTGCTAAATACATGTACCCCAACTTTTCGTTGTTCTTCGAGATACAGATTTCTTCGCTGTGTAAATGACCTGAAGGTGTTGGTTTGAAACGGCACGGAAATGGAGTCCTTGCAATGTGAAAGAAAAATGAAAAGAACATTAAAACGACTACAATACAGGCAGAAAAGCACATTTTTTCCTCAAAAGTATACAGTTATTAGGACATAGTTAACTGGAACAACTTTTGATTAAGTGTAGCATCTTTACACACACAAAAACAGTGGGGGGCTTCATTCAGTCTGACCATTTTAGCCACTGATGACAGATTATGAAACTGCTGATGTCTCCTGGCTTGCATTATGATTTATTTTGTTTGATTTAGGATTGAAACACTTCTTCAAATATATGGTAGCTGAGTGAGAGTGAATAAAGCCTACAGCATTAACATAGACAACAGTCTAAATATGAAGTGAGAATGTTTACACCACTGTAGAGTTACATGAATAGGTTTCTCAATGAAAAAAGGCTATGCTTGATAAAAAGCAGTCAGTGCTTGAGGGAGAAGCAATGGATGATGGTGGGTGAATGCATATTAGGCTGTGGTGACATCAGTATGCCTGTAGAGGAGTACTTCAGGGACTGGTGCTTGTGTCGTTAGAGAAAATGATTGGTCATAAATCTTCTGCGCACAACATACGGTAGATGTTTTCTACTTGAACTCTGACAATCACAGCAAAGTCAGGAAAGGAAGATACAAACCTGTTCCCTCAGGCGCTTCTCCTCATATCTCCCACGCTCGTTGTTGACTTTGTTCAGCCTCTCATTGATTTTCTTCTGTTGCGCAGGGCCCCGGCCAAAGAACACGTAATTTACAAAGGCATATTCAAGCAGGGCCAGGAACACAAACACAAAACAGCCCATGAGGTAGACGTCGATGGCTTTCACATAAGGAATCTTTGGGAGAGTCTCCCGAAGGTGGGTGTTAATCGTGGTCATGGTAAGCACCGTTGTCACACCTGAACAAAGACACAAAGTAATCTCACTTAGACGCAGAACATTCACAGCCTCTGACTTACATTTACTGTAAATGATGTCATAAATCATCTTATTTGCACAGTAAAGGGGTGGAAGTGTTTGCTTTGCAAGGTTAAATTCACTCAAATTTGAAAAGTATGTTAATGTATTCCTGAGCTTTAATGATAATTAGATTAAATTTCAATTAGTTTTCAGGTCTCACTTGTAAATGAGTCCCCGAGGTTCAATGGGATTGACCTGTATAAATAAAGGTTGAATGAATAATTGTAAGACTTGTTTGTTTTCTAGGGAAGAATAATTATATCATAAATGGGAAAATAGAGTAAAAGTTTCAGACTTACTTTAGGTTTCTCGAACACAGCAAATATAAGATTAGTACAGCATATGGCATATTATATCCATATAACTACTTTACAGCAATCAATGGCAGGGACAAGCATAGACCCTGTATAACATTTGACCATGATTTGTGATCTTGGCCTTAGAGCTGGGGTGATGAAAATATCACATCACCCGTTGTCTAGTAGTGGTACAAATGTGTATGAAGTTATATTGTTATCTTGAGCGGATCAGAAGTTATGGGTCGGAAAACCAAAGACCTTGTTTTCAAATTTGCCCTCAATTTGTGACCTTGACCTTGAAACTGCGATGATGAAAAGTATATGCAACATGTCGTCTATCCATCCATCTATCCATTTTCTTGCGCTTATCCGAGGTTAGGTCGTCGTCTAGTGATGATGCATCAAGTTTGATTAAATTATTGTGAGCACATCAGAAGTTAAAGGCAGGACAAGAGTATGTCTACGTACATACACTATTCCATAGTACATTGGCATTGTGAAGGGTGTATAAATGTGAGGCTACGTTCACACTGCCGGTCTTAAAGCTCAATTCTGATTTATTTGTTCAGGTCCATTTTTTTAATGAATGATCTTTCACATTACAATTTAAATGTGACTGTAACAGTGGCGATTTTAGCCTGTTTTTGGGGGTGCTCAAGCAGCCCTAAATTTTAACTCAGCACCCCTGAAAAATTAAGATGTATTTATTTATTTATTTTGGGTTCTGGATTTGGGTTCTGTTTATTGCACTTATGATTCAGTGCAACAACATAAACAAATTTTAAAGGTAACAGATCATTGTAATACTTTGTTTATTTTCATAATGACTTTAATCGCTGGATGTCCGGCCGCTGAGTCAGAGTCAGTCAGAGTCAGAGTCAGAGTTTCTTTATTGTCATTCGCACCACATGTGGTACATGTGGTGGAGCGAAATTATGTACACAGGGTCCCAGTTACATCCAACAATAAACTGGGACCCTGAGCTGCTGGCTTTCAGAAACTGTGCCCCCCTGAGCAGTTTAGTTGAACAGCCCTGATTTAGAGGGTGGAATACAGTTAAAATTTTCTGAGTGACGACCCCCTGACACCCCCCCCACCCGCACCAGTGTGCGCCCCCCCCATCATGAATGTGTCTGACGCCAATGATCACCACATTGTTCAAGCCAAGAACTTTAAAGAGGTAGACTATATAAGATTTTTTCTTCAAACCACTCCTTTTCATTCCGAACTTTTGTTTTATGTCAACATGTGACATATTTAGTTTAAACTGTAAATTAATGAAAAAAAAAAAAAAACTATTGTCAGCAGTGGGGGCTAAGCACCCCTACAAGTCAGATTCTAGAATCGCCCCTGGACTGTAATCAGATTCCAGGGTGATGTCTACAGCCCTGAAGCAACCCACATGTTCAGAAAGCGTGATGTCACACGCACTGCGCTGTGTTTAGGCAATTTACTAAGGATGCTATAAGTTAGCATGTGTGTATCGATTCGGAAATTGATGTGCCATCAGAATCAATTAAATTATTATCTTGCCTTGTGCCGGCTACTCCGGCAAAGCATTGCACTCTTGGAGTGGGAGTAACATACTGAAAGCAAAACAAACTCAAGTATCACTCCTATCACAGTAGTATCGATACAGTCCGACACCAATGTTGTTATTTAATGTTGGTGTAAATTCTCCACCATTTATGACATGACAAACTGAAAGAAAAGAAAAAACAAGGAACCGGACTAGCCTTATAGTTAACCTCTAAACTTCAATGGATATGTTTAATGTTTTTTTTTTTTCTTTGCAATGTTTTCCAGCTTAAAATGTTTTGGTATGTTGGAATTAGGTTAGGGTAAGAATTTACATACACAATAAAATTAATACTTTTGTAAAACAAGGCAGCAAAAATATGTCTTCTTATATTGTCAAAAGTTGAAAAATTCTAGAAGTAATATAAAAATCGAAAGCGGAGGGATAAAGGTTAAAAAAAAAATGTTACTGAGAGGAATGCAGAATTTTATGAAATTATATTAATGGGGATCAAAAATGAATTTATAATGGGTTTTCCTTATTGTCGATCTTCCACCTAAAAAACACTAGCCATCAGTAAAGTTACTGTGAGGTTACGGGAGCATGTGAAAAAGTTCTGACCAAACAATAAAAATTAGAAGGTTTTTTAATGGGGTAGCTGATAGAGCTGTTGCGTCTCAATGAGAAGGTTGCCGGATCAAATCCCATCCAGGGGCCATTCAGGGTGGAGTTTGCACGTTCTCTCCGTGTAAAAAAAAAAAAAAAAAAGCACAAAAGGAACGTATTATGTTACTTTGTATATAATAAATATGGGATAAAAAAATGCACGTAAAAAGGGTTTCAATGGGTTGATGTTTCCCGAGAAGTAAAGCTCCTGGGAGCATTTGAAACAATTCTGACCAGATAAAATACATTCCAAAAGCTTTTTAGGAGTGGTCAAGATGGTTCATATTTAATTACAACACCAAATAAAAACAGAAAATAAAAACAAGAACAAAAAAAAAAATACTTAGCAGATTTTTTATCCCTATGAGACATTTTGAATGTTAGACATTTAACTGAAATTATAGATCCTACATTTTCATTCCTACCTGCAAAAATGTGACTGTCGATGTCTTTAATTTTAATTCTTACTAGTAATTATGTTACTGTTACCAGGAGAAATGTCATTCACAAGATACAAAACAGACTATGGAAATAGGAGTGTGATTTAATTACTTAGTAGAACAATTTGCCATAGACTGAGCCGACTTGAGTGAGCATGCTCCGCTTTAGTGAACGCACACTCACAACACATTACTCTGCTGTGCACAGGACAGGAATCAGAACATATCTTCTTTTAAAGCACTAGCTTAGTTTGTAGTAACATCAAATAGAAGAATAAAATCCCCAAATTTTCAACACGACATGACACAAATTAAAATAAACGACCTGCAGGTTGTGTTTGCTTCATGTGGAGATATTATTTTCTGCAAATGGGGAAAATTCATGCAGAAAATAAAATGTGTGACAGTTGCATGTTCATTTCTACCATAATGACAAAATTCTTCTGGGGACAGTTCGAAGTGTAATAATGTAGCGGTGGTTGTGTCTTACCCAGGGCCACGCGAGCTGCAGAGGCATCATAATTGATCCAGAAGGAGACCCAGGAGAGGATGGTGATCAAGATGGAGGGCATATACGTCTGCAAGATGAAATAGCCAATGTTTCTCTTAATCCTGAAACTCAGCGAGAGCCTTGGATATGAGCCTGTGCAGAGATAGGATGGAGTAGGATGGAGAATAGTTTAGAGAACTCAAGGGCAAGAGTGGAAAACAAATTTAGAGAAAAATGGACGGAAGGGGCAAAACGTTGGCACCACTCTAGAGTTTCCACGTCTGCACTTTGACAACACACGGGGTAGTCATTTCTCCATTTGTTCGGATGGAGCACTTAATTTCCCCGAAGCGATAGATTCCTTTCCAGGGACAAGTTCGATTCCAATTAAACATGGCAGAAAGTCGCAAACACGGCACATTTTTCTGCAACCTCCTATCTCAGCAGGCAACTCCAGCATCCCCTCTGAGAATTGTCACAGTGAGCTGCTCGGCTTTTCTGTTGGACTTTCTCTGTCCTCTAAACATTACCAAAAGGGCATTTTCAAGAGGATAATTGCTGCTCACGCCTTTGCACTCAAACAATAAGAAATGTGTACACAGTTAGTGATTCATTGGAAAGTCTGTGCCAGTTGGATGTGCTAATTAAAACCTCGTGAAGATTGGAGTTTTTAATCAGTAATGTAATCAAAAGTTTAGCGTATGGAAACTCATTGCTTAGTTTGCAATACAAATTAGAGAAAGGCTCTACTGTATGGAACGAGACAGAAAATTAGCCAGTAAAGCAAAAATACTATCCATTTGTCTGTAAAACTGATCAAGTTACAGATATTTTGGGGTTGGCTAATGTCACTTAGCTACAGTGTTTGAGTTGGAATGACCCAAAAAGTTATTCAGTTGTACATTTAATTATTACTTTCTACAAAGTCCATTAAAACTTGGCCAGTGGTTCATGAGTCAATGTATTTTAGTGCACTGTACACAAGCAAAAGGACAATCGTCATCCATGGCATTTCAGCATGAGGCAATAAGAAAGATAATACAGAATATAAAGTAATACAAAGTTTGTGTTTAAGGGTGATTGTCTCTCGGAACAGCCATACATCGCAGTCCGCTGTGACAACAATGTCTTACTAAAGCATTCAGAGTTGTTGATTGGCCATGGTATGTTGAAACAAATTTAGTAAAAGTAGACCTCATGTACACTTAGATGCCAAGCAGTCTTACCTGTGGTAAACCTGACCTCCCTGGACACTAAGTGGAGCTCCATGATGGAGAACTGAGGTAACTCCAACTTGTCGACCCCAGTCACAGCACTGTCTCCTCCTTGCCAGAAGAATACAATGTCGTCCGTGGTATACCCATCTGTGTCAAAGTCAAAGCAAATGAAGATTGAGGAAAATTTCACCATTAACGTAAACCATGTTTCTACTTAATGTCCGCTGCGTGAGAAGGAATAAAAACATGAGATTGTTTGACAAATTTAACAATACTATGGGGTGTCGTTTGTAAAGTTACACAGTCAAAAATTAACAGTAATTGTTAGAGATTTTCTATTTTATCATTTAAAAAAGCTTCCATCTCATATTAATATCTGTTTCTGCATGTACAGAACAAAAGGTTTATTTTGGTTCAGCGTTATATCATTGCTGTGTATAAGTTCTGGAAAGTTCTGCTTCTACATCAAGTGGACGTTTATCAAGAAACTATCTGTTCAGACTCAATCTTCTGAATGTTCCGACCGTCATCCTGATAAGATTTTGTTCATGTAAACTTGACCTGTTTTCATGTTCCACTTTTATCTAAATAAATACCAGACTCACCCAGCAAAACGGCAGAGTTCACTCTGACATAAAGTGACTCTCCCTTTGCAAATGTTCTGAGCGCTAAAACCCATCTCGCTGTGTTGTGTGAAATGATTTTCCATAAAGGTCAAACAGAAAATACCTAACAGTAATATTTTGGTGTATTTAGCCTTTCATAAGAAAAAAATAAAACTAGTTTTTTTTTTTTTCAAAGTCATATTTTCATCATGTCATTCATACATTTATAAATGTCATAGTTTCAAACTAAATATTTAATTTACAAGCTAAATATTTAATTTACAAACTAAATACTTAACTTGCAAGTTAAATATTTAGCTCCACACAAAATATTTAATTTACAAACTACACATTCATGTGCAAGATAAATGTTTAATTTACCAACTTTTTTTTTACTCGCAAGTTAAATATTTAGTTAGTGAACTAAATATTTAGGTGTAAATTAAATATTTCATTTCCAAGATAAATATTTATTTTCAAAATTAAAAAATTATAGTCCAAGCTAAATATTTAATTTCCAAATTAAACATTTAATTTCCAAACTAAACATTTAATTTCTAAGCTAAAAAAAAATCTCAAACTAAATATTTAATTTGCTAACTAAATATTTAGCTCAAACCTAAATATTTATTTTCAAGTCTAAACATTTAATTTCCACAATAAATATCTAATTTACTAACTAAATATTTAGCTCGGACCTAAATATGTATTTTCCAAAATGAACATTTAATTTGCAAAATAAATATTTAATTTGCTAACTAAATATTTAGCTCAAACCTAAATATTTATTCTCAAAGCTAAACATTTAATTTACAAAATAAATATTTAATTTGCTAACTATATATTTAATTTGAAAGTTAAATATTTAGATTGTAAATTAAACATTTAGCTTGAACATAAACATTTAGTTTGTAAACTAAATATTTAGTGTGGAACTAAATATTTAACTTGCTAACTAAATATTTAACTTGCAAGTTAAGTATTTAGTTTGTAAACTAAATATTTAGCTTGTTAATGAACTATTTAGTTTGGAACTATGACATTTATAAATGTATGAATGACTGTGAAAATATGACTTTGAAGAAAAAAAACTTTTTTCTTCCTAAGAAGGCTAATAAATCAACCAAAATATTGATGTTAATTTTTGACTGTGTAACGTTACAAACGGCACCCCATAAATATCTGCTTAATTTTAACTGTGAAATACACGCTCATTCTAAGTTCAGGCACACTTCATCATTTTGATCTGTTTTGTAGCATAATCTCCTGCAAGTACTCAGCCAGGTACTGGAAGATTACAGTAGGGAGGACACCAATACACTTACACACTTACACAATGGAGGCCAAGGTTGTTGATAACAAAATTGAAACATCATTATGTTAAAAGAATAAGCAAGTTACTGTCAGTTTTTAAGTGTTTGATGCCATAATGTCTGCCAATATAATAAAAACATGCTTTTCTTTGAAGATAATGGGACATGTGAGTGTTTATGTAAACAATGTTGTATTAATTATAGCAGACTGTCATCAAATTGACCCATGAAGAAAGTTTAAGTTTCAGTACTGTAGGACTCTTAAAGGTATTTGTCAGATGTTCAATAAGTTGTCCACAGCTGTCAGTCTCTGAGTCCTTTTTATTTATGAAGCTAAAGTCCTTCTTAATAAGTTGATATGTTTAAAAGAGGGGTTTCTATGGAGTTGTTATCAACAGTCAGTATCTTACCCGCAGTAGATGGCAGCCAGAATAATTTCAGTTTAGGGATATAGATCAAAGTTTTGATTGTATAGCCTAGCTCATGGCTGGTATGAGTGAACTTCTGATGCCTTAAATCAACACAAATTTCAAAAATTTATAGTGGTTTGTGTGGAGACTATTTCAGAAAGTTTTCAAATTCACATTAGAAGGTTATTTACAATAAAGACCATGTAGGTCCATGTGAACATTCATGCATTCGTGTTTTTTACTCCCTGATCTTGTTCAGGGATGCAGAGAGCTGGCACCTATCTCCAGCTGTCATTGGGCAAGAGGCAGGGGACACACTGGACAAGTTCCAAGTCCATAACAGAGACTCATGGAGACAAACAACCATTCACACTCTCATTGATACCTCATAATAAATAACCTTCTAACTAATGCAAAAGCGACAGTGGTGTAGATGTTTAGAAAATAATGTTTGCATGTGCCAACTATGAAACCTTCAACTGGAGTTGTTTTAAGATTGAACAAAGATTCATTAGTCTTGGCACCGCCATGACTTGCTGTTAGCTCGACTATCCGGTCAAAGCTTCTTTTTTTTTTCTTCCCGAAACTGAAAAGATTCTGGTGTTGTCTACCACAGGTAAGGTACTGAATGCTAATAGAAACTTCAAAAGCATCCGAGCTGTCTCTTTAAGGACCGTTTTTGGAAGTTGTCAATCCAACATGCAGTGAAAGACGCTCTGATGTACGTCCACAGCTTGATATTTTCATTAGAAAATTTAGAAACACAGAGTCTGGTACAGTTTCTCATAGGGCGAGCATGAAACACAACCCCAGTCTTTGAAAAATGTCTTGCTAAGATTGACGTCTGCTAGCATACAATCACACACAGCACTCCCCAAACTCCCTTGAAGCTATATCCCCTCATGTACCACAACCAGCATGAATATTCATCAACATGTCATGTGCTGTGACGCCGCCACACATCCTCCACACATCCTCCACTGGCAGTTCAATTTGAAAGTGACCACAGCTGTAGATTTATGGCTATAGGCTGGCATGCGTTCACTGCGGAGCCATTTCTCAGTCCGGGAAGTGTTACCACATTTCACATTCTGCTACACTACATGCAGACCTGGATAGCATTAAACTTGCTAAGGGACCAGGATTCATTACCATTAAATCTCTCTGTGAGGTTGTAGGGTAAGAAAATGTGACATTGTCCACGAAATTGAAGCAACTGCCTGCTCAATCCATCAAACTGATGGTTAATGCGCACAAGTCAGTGGTGCGTGGCATTCCATGAGCATAAACAGCAGATATTCTCGCAGCTTTTTAATTCGTGGCCTGTCCATATTTCATTGCTTACTCTGGTTCCTGAGGGGAACAGTCTGCAGTTTTACCCTGAACAACGAGTACCGCAAAATGTATTGAGCAGGCCTCTGTGATCATTGGCGTGATCAGAGAAAATAATCAAGCAGATGTTGTTTCTAATTACACAACAAGCACGTTTCTTTCACACTTAACTGTTTGTCAAACAGTCTGAACGTATCCGATGATACGATTTCTCAAAGCAGTCTTTAATATTGCCCACTTTCTTAGAAAAGATAAGTTCAGTGCTCAGATTGCTTTAAGTGGGACTTTATCTAACATTTATGAACTCAAACATAAAATTGCTGAAAAAAGCCAATAATATTTTTGTCCACCATAAAAACATAAATCTTGAATTGTCCAACTTGAATGAGCCTTTTTGAATTTAGACAAATTTATTATTACAGATATTCATGAAACAGAACCCAGATGTTTTAATTAAACAGAACTTCTTCTTTCATCTATTCTCTCTTTACTGGTCTCCACAGCGAGTCATCCTTCATCTCACTCTGTCCTCTGCTTCTTCTGTCCTCACTCCAACTACCTCCATGTCTTCTCTAACTGCATCCATAAATCTCCTCTTTGTCTTTTTCCTGGCAGCTGCATTTCTAACATCCTTCTACCAATATACCCACTGTCCCTCCTGTGGACATGTCCAAACCATCTCAGTCTGGCCTCTCTAACTTTATCTCCCAGTTGTTCAACCTGTGCTGTACCTCTGATGATCTCATTCCTAATCTTTTCCATCCTTGTCTCTCCTAAGGAGAACCTCAACATCTTAATTTCTGCCACTTCCAGTTTTTTTCTCCTGTCTTTTTGTTCATGTCTCTGTCTCCAGACCATACAACATAGCTGGTCTCACCACTGTCTTGTAAACTTTTCCTTTGACCTTTGCTGACATTCTTTTGTCACAAATCACTCCTGAAACTTTTCTCCATCCACTCCATCCTGCCTGGACTCTCTTTTTCACCTCTTTACCACACTCCCCATTTTCCCAGACAGTGGACCCCAAGTATTTGAAGCCCTGCACCTTTGTGACCTCTGCTCCTTGTAGCCTCACTGTTCCACCAGCCTCCCTCTCATTCACACATGTACTCTGTCTTACTACGGCTGACTTTCATTCCTCTTCTTTCAAGTTCATACCTCCACCTCTCCAAGTTCTCTTCCACCTGTTCCCTGTTCTCACCATAGATCACAATGTCATCTGCAAACATCATAGTCCATGCATAGTCCATGCCTGATCTCATCTGTTAGTCGGTCCATCACCAGAGCAAACAAGAAGGGGCTCAGAGCCGATCCTTGATGCACTCCCACCTTCACCTTGAAGCTATCTGTCACTGCTACAGCACATCTCATCACTGTCCTGCTGTCCTAACACACTTTTCTGCCACTCCAGATTTCCTCATGCAATACCACAGTTCCTTTCTAGACATGCTGTTATATACTTTTTTTTTAAATCCACAAAGACACAAAGGAGATCTTTCTGACCCTCTCTGTACTTCTCCATCAGCATCTTTAAAGCAAATATGGCGTCTGTGGTGCTTTCTCTTGGCACAAAACCATACTGCTGCTCACAAACCTCTCACCTAACTCCAGTTTCCACAACTCTCTCCCAGATCTTCAGCATGTGGCTCATCAACTTAATTCCCCTGTTGTTGCTACAACTCTGTTTAGTAAATTAGTATAGTTTTTTTTTTTTTTTTTTTTACTACTTTGTATATAAATTTGATCCACCACAAATTGTCACCTCTCTTCAAAGTCTAGGTTCATTGTGTGACTCATCAACTTAATTCCTCTGTAGGTGCTACAATCCTGTACATCACCATTGTTCATAAAAATGTGTACCAGCACACTTCATCTCCCTTCCTCAGACATTTTCTCACCCTCAAATATGCCATTGAATATGTGAGTCAGAAACCTCACTACCATCTCTCCAAGACATGTCCAAACCTCCACTGGTATGCCACGAGGCCCTGCTGCCTTCCTCTTCATTATTTTCAAAGCTTTCTGATTTTTCACACTCCCTTATCTTTCAAATCAAAACACTTTAATCAAACTTAACAAAACGGCAAATATTCCGTCATACTGAGCTAAGGGGCCTCTCAAGGATGTGTACTCAGGCCTTTGCTGTTTACTCTGCTGACACATGACTGTACTGCATTTCAGCACAAACTAACTCATGTAGTTTCCTGAGGACACAGCAGTGATGTCTGAACTGTAATGATGATGAAACATCTTTCAGAGCTGAGGTGAGCTGCTGTCTATCGCTCTTTGTCAATAAAACTAAAGAGCTGATTGTGGGTTTTAAAGAAAAAAAGGCTGAGTATCAGCTCCTGCTCCTCAATGGATCCCCTGTGGAGATTCAACAGCACAAAATTTTGGGGAAACTACATCGCTGAGGATCATTCCTAGACTCTCTACATCATACACCTGGCCAAGAAAGCTCAGCAAAGGAAGCACTTCCTCAGGAGACTGAAGCGTATGAGAATCCCCCTTTCTATCCTCAGCACTTTTTACAGAAGCACTAATGAAAGCTTCCTGACCAGCTGAATCACTTCTTGGTATAGCAACGTGTGGTAAAAATGGCAGAAACAGGGTCTCACACCCTTCCTTCAAAGTTTATTTTTATGAAAAGCTACAAGAAAAGAAGACTTCAGTAGAATATTAAGTAAAATATACTGAAGACAATACCATGAAATTACCATCGTGTCCGAATGTGCAACAACTCTGTTTCTCAGGCAGTAAAACTGCTAAAACTCCAGCAACACCCAATAACTGAGCAAAAAGTAGTTTGTTTCTTTATATTTAAAATAAATAACTAAATAAGTAATTGTATATGAAATGCCTAAATAAAATACTTTTCACCACTTTCAATAGCACAGGTGGGGAAGGTTTTTTTTTTTTTTTTTTTGAAAGGACATTTTGAATTAATGGGTTCAAAGGGCCACTAACTGAATTGAAGCATGAGCACAATATACTACTTGAATTGATCACAAACATCTAAGGGTGCACCATCGGCCCCGATTTCCTTAATTTTGGGAAATCGGCCGATACTTGCACGAGAAACTAATTTTACCAACTTTTTTTAAGTTTTAACAACAATTGTCTGAATTTCATTTATATTTCAGAGCACTACCTCATGGCCAGTTAAAACAAGTTTGGATTGTTTCTAAGCTATTGTTCAAGGGTATGTTATTCAGTCAAATAAAATTGGAAAATTGAAGGTGCATTGTGACCTTAAAACACCTGACAGTGCCGCTTATAAAACAAAATCGGTATTGGCAGGTCAGACTTTTTAGAAATCGGTGATCGGTCAGAAAACTGCAATCAGTGCACCCCTACAAACATCACATCATCTGCAAAAATACACAGAAAAAGTTGTTTTACAGGACAACATTAGGCTCACGGTTGTATTTTTGTAAATTGTAGTCTGCCTTTTAGTGCATTGCTGCAATGATACGTCAAAATTCAGTTTGTTGTACAGCTATACTGCTGTTAGCATTTGTTACGTTGCATCTGTGAGAAAACACGTGGCATTATTTAAAAAAAAAAAGTCCTGACCCATTGGCTATATTTCTTTGCTATTTGTTTGTTTTAGTGAAAACTTCAATTTTTATTAAAAATGGTAGAACTGCAGTACAGATTTGATATTAACTTTCCTTAAAAGTCATTACTAAAGTTCTGTTTTTTATTTTTTTTATTGTAATTTTTTTGTACAAGGACGTCAAGGGCTGCTTTTGGTACTTGGGCCTAAATATTGCTAAATAATTCAAATACCTAAAACCAACTTTTGCTCTTGTTTTCCAGAGAATTCCCAATTGATTATTATTCCCAGTTGGATGCTAAATAGATCCTAACTAAGAAGTAATCTCTACTTTCTTGTTTCTGATTGATTTGTTGCGTTACTTACTGGGCACATGGAGACTAAGGGTGCTTGTAATATATGTCATTATGAGTCTTTCAGAAGTGAAGGATCCAAGCTTAGCAAATGTTATCAGAAGAAGAAAGTGCTATGTGTTGTCATTGATCCATCTTTGGGGTAATCATCATAAAATCCAGAGGGTGGTTGCAAGCAGGAAGACTGGCAGAACTTACAGCTTTCAATTTCCAGAGTGCAGTTCTGTTCATCAAGGGGGTACCTCCGTAAGTCCATCATGCAGGCAGCCGTGGTTGTTATTCTAAGAACGAAAAAGAAGAAGAAAAAAAGTCATTCAAACCAATAATGGTTAAAGTTAAGAAGAAAATCACACTTCAGGTTGTTGCACAGTGACCACACAGCGTACCAAGTACCCAACTTTAATAGTTTTATTGGTGTTTGTTGAATACATGAACATGTCCCAGCAGTTCATGGTAAGTTTCTATTTATGGTAATTTGAAAATCCAGACATTAATGGGTGTGACACCCGGTCTACCAGGTCATCGGGGTCATTAAATCTGAGGGAAACCATGACAGAGGGAGCGAAGAGGTGACCAGTATTCATGTGTTTAGAATGGTGTTCATATGTATATCAAACGACAGAAACTGTTTCACACATAGGAGACAAAACC